GAGGTTGTCCCCCGTGGGTTGTGTGGGCAAGGCGGTGCAGGTGGTGTTGGACGGGGTCTCATGGAGGCCCTTCTCCAGCCCTGACCATCGTGGGTCCCCCCGGGCCAGGTTCCTCCTGGCTGTGTCCACGCGAGGGTTGGGCATCGCCAAGGATGGAGACTCACCATGCACCTGGGTCTGTCCTCATTGGGACGGGGCGGGGAATCGGACCTCCCACATCCAACCTTGACCCCAAACCAGGTCCCACCCCAACCAACACAGGCACAGCTGGATGAGGTTCCTCACGGCTCCTCCCAGCGAGGTCTGAAGAGCTCTAGGGATGGAGACCCACCACCCTGAGGGAAGGGTTTTGACCTCCCACCCCACACCACCACCTCCGAGGAGGACATTTCTCACCACTCTGCTCCACCCCCCAGGGCTGCCCAAGGCAGCAGTGATCACAGAGCTGAAGCTGATGATGGTGGCCAACCTGAGTCGGCTCTGTGGCCTGCGGCCTGATGATGTCATCTACACAACGCTCCCGCTCTACCACTCAGCCGGGCTGCTCATCGGGGTGGGCGGGTGCTTCGAGGTCGGTACGTACCCCCATGCCCAACGTGGTCCGGCCAGCACAGGGAGGGGGTGCCGGCAAGGACAGGCAGAGAGAGGTGTTGGGGATGGGTGGAGAGCGAAGAGGAAGAAGGGAGAGAGGCAGCTGTGTACCTACATGGGTGAGGGATGGATCGACGGATGGGTGGACATTCTAGATGGATGGACAGATGGATGGGTGGACATTCTAGATGGATGGACATTCTAGATGGATGGACGGACGGACGGATGGGTGGACATTTTAGACGGACGGACGGATGGATGGGTGGACATTCTAGATGGATGGACAGACGGATGGGTGGACATTCTAGATGGATGGACGGATGGATGGGTGGACATTCTAGATGGATGGACATTCTAGATGGATGGACAACTGTTTTATGGAGATGGACACATGGATTTTTATGGAGATGGATGGATGGATTGGCTAGAGTGTTTTTTTAATATAGGGATGGACAGACTTTTTCTGGAGATGGACTGAAGGCTGATGGAAAAACGTGAGGATGGAGGGAAGAAAAGGAAAGGAGAGAGAAAAGGCGAAAGCTCTCTATAGCGATAAATGGATTAGTAGGGGATGGAAGGCTAGATGGACGGACAGATGACAAAAAGCATAGGGACAGAAAAGGAGAGTGGGATGAAAAGAAGCCAGAAAAGGAGAAGCGTGTCTGTAGATAATGGGTGACTGGGGCTGAATGGACAGGGCAGATGCTCATGAAGATGGCTGGATGGAGAAAAGGGAACAAAGAGGCAACGGGGAGGGGTAACCATCACCCTGCCTTGTCCCCACAGGAGCCACCTGCGTCCTGCGGGCCAAGTTCTCTGCCTCCCAGTTCTGGGACGACTGCCGCCGCTACAACATCACCGTCATCCAGCATGCGGGCGAGCTCCTGCGCTACCTCTGCAACATGCCCAAGGTACGGTCCCACCAGCCCGAAATCCACCCCAGGGCGGGGTGGGGGGCAATGCCGTGGGGCGCATGCCGAGACAGTTCCTCCCTTTGTCACCCCACAGCGCGCCAACGATCGGGAGCACAGCGTGCGCTTGGCCCTGGGCAACGGCCTGCGGGCAGATGTGTGGAAGGACTTCCTCCAGCGCTTCGGGCCCATCTCCATCTGGGAGTTTTATGGGGCCACCGAGGGCAACGCCGGCTTTATCAACTACACCGGCAAGATCGGGGCCGTGGGCAGAGCCAACATGTTCCTCAAGGTGAGCCACCAGTGACGACGGCGGCAGTGGGAGCAACACTGCACCCCAAGTTGGGCTGATGCCAAAGTGGGGTTCTCCAGGATACCCTCTCCATGGTGGCACAAACGGTGACCTCCTTGGGGAAGCCAACGCTGTCCGTCAGGTTGGGCCGATACAAAAGCAGGATCTCCAGGACCCCCGTTTCACATCTAAAAGGAGTCCCCTCCACCTGCTTGGCCAACGTTGACTCAACAGCGTTGACTCAAAGTCTGGTTTTGGAGTGTCCGTGGTGACCTGGACATCTCTATCAGCCCCGAGAAAGGCCACTTTGGTGTCGCTTCCCAGTCTCCAACCACCCACGTGTTGAGCAAAAGCTGCCAACAAATAAGTTTTTTTTCTCCACCCTTTCCCCACAGTTGCCAGCGCTCAGCATTCGCCCACGGCTCTTTGATTTGAACAATCTCATGAGTTTGGTCAATGGTTGAATCTATTAGATTAAATCTTATTTAAATATAAAGGGCGTTAGCTTGGATGGAAAACAAGTGGCTACCCAGGATGTTGGGATTTGGGGCGGCGGGGGCCCAGGGTGTGTTTCTGTGAGTTGTAATGAGTAACAGAGGATTGGACCTGGCACTGGAAGGAAATTCTTCTCACTCTTTTTAGTCTCGCATTTCTCTTCCACCCACCAGTTTCTCTCTTTGTCTCTCTTCCGCCCTCCAGTGTTTTGCTCCCTTTGAGCTGATCAAGTACAACGTGGAGGACGACGAACCCATACGTGACGAGCGAGGTCTCTGCATCCGAGCCCACCCCGGTAAGAAGCAATGAGCCTTACGAGGGCCTTTTTGGGAGGAAAGAGGAGGTAGACAGAGAGTTGAGACGCATCAAAGCCACCTCTTGGTGCCTATCACCGTCATCTTGGTGGCTGGAAGCCACCAGAAACCCCTCAAAGAAAGAGGAAGGTCACCCCCGAGCAGCCGGTGGGGCATGGAGGTGACGTTCCCCGGCACCAAGGCAGTGCTGACTGGCCTCCTTTCCGTCCCCAAAGGTGAAACAGGGCTGCTGGTCATTAAAATCACCAAAGCCACCCCTTTCCACGGCTACGCGGGCGATTCCCAGAAGACAGAGAGGAAGATATTGAGGGACGTCTTGGTCAAAGGCGACCTCTTCTTCAACAGCGGTGACCTCCTCATGATTGACCATGAAAGATTCGTCTACTTCCATGACCGCGTGGGAGACACTTTCCGGTACCTCTGATGCTCTCACACCCCCATCTGTGTGGGCAATGCCACCTGCCAGCCCAAATCCCCCCCTCACAGTTTCATCCCTTCTCTTCCCTAGTTGGAAAGGTGAGAATGTGGCCACGACGGAGGTGGAGGCCACGCTTGCCATGGTGAACTTCATCCAGGAGGTCAACGTGTACGGAGTGTCCGTGCCAGGTGAGTACTGGGCGGTGCAGGGGTGGTGCGAGTCGGACCAAATTAAGAATCTGGTGAGGTGACTTGTCCCCAAATGGTCTGAGCGGCCACCGAGAAGCCTAAAGTAGAATAGAATGGAAGGGACCTACAATGATCACCTAGTCCAACTGCCTGAGCACTTCAGGACTCATTGACCCAAAATAAAGAGTCCGGTATTGTTTTGGGCGCACGATTACTGCCACAACGGTCCAAACAGCCACCAAGAAGAGTAAAACAGGACTGGGTTGCCCAAAAGAAACATCTAGTGTTTTTGGGGCAAGTAACACACCCACATAAAGGTCCAACTGACCACCAAGGTGACTAAAGTAGGACTTACTGACCCAAAATAAGTCTCTGGCATGGCTTTGGTACACAGTGAGCTCCTGTAAAGGTCTGAGTGGCCACCAGGAAGGTTAAAGGGGTACTTGGCTGCCCAAACCAAGTGTCCAGCATTGTTTTGGGCATGCAACGTGCCCCTGCAATGGTCCAAGTAGCCACCAAGTAAAATGGGACTCGGTTGCCCAAAAGAAGCATCTGGTGGTGTTTTGGGAAACTGACATAACTCCATGATGGTCCATGTGGCTACCAGGAAGAGTAAAAGGGGACTCAATTGCCCAAAGTGTCTGTTGTTGTTTTGGGCACATGATGTGCCCCCATCATGGTCCCAGCAGCCTCTGAGAAGGCTAAAGTGGGACACTTCCACCCAAAATAAGTGTCCAACATTGCTCTGGGCATGCAACAGGTCCCCATAATGGTCCAAGCGGCCACCAAGAAGAATAAAATGAGACTCGGTTGCCTAAAATAACCCGCCGGCATCGTTTGCAGGGTGTGAGGGCAGGTGCGGTATGGCAGCCATCCGCCTGAAGGCCGGGGCGAGCTTCGAGGGTGAGAACTTCTACGCCTTCACCAAGGACACGCTGCCCAGCTATGCTGCCCCCCGCTTCGTGCGGATCCAGGTCAGTGGTCCCAGCTTCACCCAGGCGTCGGGGTGGCTTCTGGGGGACGGGTGGTTTTTAGTCCTCTGCCAAGTTAGTCCTTTGGACGAAGGGTGATTCGGCAGCACGGGCGCCAGCGCCCATTTCCAAGGGCTGTGTCTGTGTCCCCCCGGTTTCTGATGACGGTGCCGGGCACCCTGTGCCAGTAACGGTGCTGGGGTCCCCCGTTAGCAGTGACAGCGCCAGGGTCACCCTGTTGTTGATGGCACTGTCCATCCATTTCTGGAGACGGTGACGGTCACCCAACGTCAATGACAACATCAGGGTCACCCTGCGCTCATGACTGTGTTGGCCCGCCTTTCCGACGACGGCGGCGTCAAGGTCCCTCCTTGCCCATGGCAGCGGTGGTCACTCTGTGCCAACGGGTGGTCACCTTGTGCCAATGACACCATACAGGTCCCCCCAATTCTGATGACACCATCTGTGCCCATGCGCCCACGACACGGGGGTCGCCATTTCCAGTGACGGCACCCGGGTCCTCCCGCGCCGATGACGGCGTTGGTCCCCCACATTGCCGACGACAGCACTGGGGTGCCCCATTTCTGATGACGGTGCCGGTCACACCACGCCAGTTAACGCCGTCCATCCCCGTTTCTGATGACACCATCCATCTCCACAGGATGCCCTGGAGATCACGGGGACCTTCAAGCAGTGCAAAGGCAACCTGGTCAAAGAAGGCTTTGACCCCAATGTCATCAAAGACCCCCTCTTCTTCCGCGATGACAAGAAGAAAACCTACGTGCCCCTGAACCCCGACATCTACGCCGCCATCCTGGACATGAAGCTCAACCTGTAGAAGAAGGAGCCATGCCATGCCAGGGTCTCCGCGATGGCTTGTGGCGATAATTGCCTCGGGGCAACTGGCAAGGCCAATTTGGGGCTAATCAGGCAGTTCTCACTTCCTTCGGGGAGTTCTGAATGGTGTCGGAGCACAACGAGGGCGATGGGCTGGTTTCAGTGCTCGCTATCCTGCCCCAGTGCCTCCGTGTCATGATGGCTGTGGAAATTAAAGGCTTAATTCCAATTAGCTGGGTCCAGGCAGGTGCTGGGTCAGTGAGGGCCATTTTCTGGGGACTGACCCACTCGCTTTCCCTTCTGGATGGAGCAGATGGTGCCCAAAATCCTCCCCGCTGCCAGGAAGGGAACATTTGCTCAGCGCTGGCCTCTTGCTTGCCCGTGGGACCGGCCCTGGAGATGTATCGGCCCCAAAACGTCTTGTCTTCCCACCCAGGGCTCACTGAGCTGCAACAAAACTGATTTATTTCTCCCTGACCAATTTTCTGCCCCATCAATGACCTAAACCCGCTCGGGAAGGCAGCCCGGGCTCCCCCGTAGCTCTCAGACCCGCACGACGCACCCCAATCCCCCCACGACAGCATCGGCTTCTTCCTGCCCTTCCCCAACACCCGGAACCCGGTTTAACCGACACAAAAGGAGCTTATTTCTCCCTGCAGCCGCTTTCTGCTGGATCAGTGAGCAAAACTGGCTTGGGGATGCTGTCCCGGCTCCCTCTTCTCCCAGGCGTGAGCCAACCCCCTCAATTTTTCATAGAAAAGGCGCAATCTTTATTTACAAACCTTCC